AGACACTAATTCAGAAAGATATATGCACCCCTATGTTCATTGCAGCATTATTCACAATAGCCAAGACTTGGAAACACCTAAGTACCCCTCAATGGATGAATGGATAAAAAAGATGTGGCATTAGTACACACACACAATGGACTACTACTCAGCCATAAAAAAGATGAAATCTTGCCATTTGCAACAACATGAATGGACCTTGAGGGTATTAAACTAAGTAAAATAGGTCAGACGGAGAAAGCCAAATGCTGTATGATTTCACTTATATGTGGAAGATAAAAACAACAATAGCAACAACAAACAAACACATAGATACAGAGAATAGATTGGTGGTTACCAATGGGGAAGAGAAGTAGGGAAGGGCGAAAGGAGTAAAGGGGGACATTTGTATGGTGATGGATGGCAAGTAGACTTTTGGTGGTGAACATGATGTAGTCTATATAGAAATCAAAATATAATGATGTACACCCGAAATTTGTGAAATGTTATAAACCAATGTTATCTCAATAAAAATAAATAAATAAATACATTAATTAATTAAATAAAAATATGAGTGTGGTACAATGTGATTTGAGATTTGATTTCATCTATAGAATGTGATGGTGAGATTGTGGAGAGAAGAGGTACCTCTCACTATCTCAACTTCTCTGCTTGCTACCACAACCCGTCAAAAAGAATCTAACAGCTGTGCATAACCAAACTGGCTTAGAGACAGGAGAACTTCCAGGGTCAAGTCCTTGGCCTCTGTTCTTCTTTATTTATATATAACACTTGGGCAATCTTACTCACTCCCATTACTTAAAAACATCCAAGTACTGATGGCCTCTAAATCTCTCTTTCTCTCCTGGGCTCCAGACCATTATAACCACCTGTCCACAAGATATGTTTACTTGGATGTCCATGGCATGTTCAATACTGAACTCACCATCTTCTTAATCTCACCCAATGCCCCAACTAGCTCTTTCTGTGTCCTAGTATTAGTGGTTCCCAAACACTGGTCCACAGATGACTGGCTGCAAGAGTATCACTGGGGAAACATTAAAAATAGAGTCTTGGTTTCCACTGTGATCTTTTGAATAAGAATCTCTTAAGGTAGAGCCCAGGAATCGGAATTTTTAACAAGCACCCCAGGTGATTCCAATATACCACCAGATTTAGGAAGCACTACCTAAATTGGAAATACTGCCAATGGAATGGATTTAGGAATGTAATTGCTAACATGGCCAAATGGCACGAGTATCCACTTGGTTGCCCAAGCCAAAAGTTGTGCGCTATGATGTAGAGCAGGCTTAAAAAGGGAAATAGTCAAACAGAACTGGAACAAACACTACTCACTCATTTAAGAGGCAAACATTTGCAATCAATGTGTCTTGGCCTATATTCTCTCATCTTTGTTTCCCTTGACAGCAATTTTATGGCTCTTAAAGATTCTGCTTTTCCTTTTCTAGGAAGAGACTATCAAGTAGTAGTCTATGTTTTTCTTTGAGAGTACTTTTAGTGGTAATGTTGGAATTCTTTACCTTCTTCATAATTGGCATTATGCATTGGTGTTGGCCAGTAGGCACGACATTTTCTTACTCTGGGTAACATTTCTTGGTGTTAAGAATTTAGAAAAATTTGATCTAGATTGGACCTTTTAGGGGCTTATGGACTAGTGTATTATAAGGTCCCACAAGATCTCTGGAAATAAATGTCACTATTGACTGGCACCCAAGACAAACATCTCTGAATTGAAGCTGAAGACTTCCCTGACTCCTTAAGATTGATTAAGTGCTCCCTCTAAGGCTTCCTGGTGCCTCTCCTGTCTAGTACTGTAGGACATGCTATAATTGCTTTTAGACAACACTGTCTTCCCCAACTACACTGTAGGCATCCCGAAGACAGTTGCATCACTCAGATTCCTGGGCATAATGCATGGTGTCATGGGGCTGGTAGAGCCTTAGAGAATCTAGTCCAACCTCCAGGGTTCAAGTGAGGCTGGATACCATGCCTCACGGATGTTGTAGAGTGGATTCCTGCAGGAAGCCTCAACTCAACGGCTTCTGAGTCTGTACATCAGAATGTATGAGAAAGAGAAGGAGCCCCAAAGACAGAGATGGCTTCTTTGAGTGCATAAACTGTGAAAGGTGTGATCCCTTAAAGCAGAGGTGCCAGCTAAGCAGCTGGCAGAACCACTGGGCCTAGGATCCTGCCTAGTCACACCACCCTATCTGCCAAGCTATGGCCGCCATGCCGACTGAGGCAAAGCTGAAGCTAATAATGTGGATTTTAAGGGGGTCCAGACCCAAAGGAACTATGTAGATGCAAAACACTTATAAAAATATATATATACATTTAACCACATTATCACAAAATCTAATGTGTCCTAGAAGACATTGGTTTAGACTTCCTCAAAGCTTATTCTGTCAAGTTTTTTTTTTTCAAGCAGACATTTTCCCATAGAAACTTTTTAAAAGAAGTGATGAGATTCCCTTAGGCTCAGATACACCTGGGGTCAAATAGGCTTTTGAGCTTGACTGTTTTCCTGTAGGACCTCTCATTCCTCGGTATACCCGTGTTCAAGATCCAAACAGCCAACATGTAAATGATCTTCTGATTCAAGATTTTTCTTTGAAATTATTCTCTTCTGGATCAACGGAAAAATAGCTGTTTTCATCAATGCAAAAGGACTTCTTATATGTGTCCAACAAAGGGCAATTAAAACAGAGCAAATGAACAATGCTTGAAGACAAGGTACAAAATTAACTTCCTCTAATATGAATAAAAGGATAGGTTACCAAGAGAGATGGTATAATCCTCTTTTCTGGTAATCCTTAAAAAGAGACTGAATTTGCACCTGCTTAGAAGGGTAGAGCTCCTCTCCCGTCAAGGCCCTTCCAGCTGTATCAGCTTTCCGCCTTCTTAGAACAAACACACTCTTGGGTATTCCTCCCACACCTTGGTTCTATCTGAGCTCCTGATGCAATGCCACACACACACATCCAGAGCCACGGTCCTAGCTCTGTGGCCAATATTTGCACTTCCATCCGGATACTTTTGTGATGCTTCATTGTGAGGAAACGCTTACCTTTCCAAAGTCCTTGAAAGCTATCAGTGTCGTGCAGGGAGGGGACAGGAGTATCTGTCTGCCAGTCGGCTCTACCCCTGTAGCACTAAGGAGGTTTATAAAGCTCTTTCAAAAGCAGGATTCATTCAGCTTGCTCAAAAAATTTCAAAAGGCAGTTGTGTAGGAGCATACTGACTTTTTATTGTGCCATCTTTACTAACAATCTTGTTATAATTATTAGAAGTCTGAAATTGGAAAGTATAATCTATCCATCAGGAGCGTATATATTTTGAACTAGTAGAACTTGTGTAGTTTCTTTAAGTCATTGGAGGTCAGAATGGTGTGGCTAAGATAGATTTTTCTTGATGTACAAAGATATTAACAGTAGCACTTATAATAAAAATTGGGAACCAATGCTCCCCACAATATAATATCTCCTATTGGTTCTCTGGAGAAGCCAGACTAATACAGACCCTGGCATCAGTAATTTTTAAAGCTCTCCCAATGGTTGGAATGTTCAGCTAGGGTTGAAAACCCCCGGTCTAGGAGTTCTTAATCCCTTAGGGGGTTCATGGATGGCTTCAAAGGCTCTATAAACTCTTGGAACTCATAAACAAAATTTTGCATGTATGTTCATCTACCTGATCCAAACTCCCAGCTGGTCTTCAAATCCCCTCCACGACATCCCTGCAAAATGATTGTTTGCTTTTGTTTAAACATCTACCAATGATGGGAAACACCCTCCTCCCCAAAGAAACCCATCTCATCTTAGAACAGTTCAAGAGTCCCCTTGAGGAAACTGAAGCATGAGAAGCCTGATTTTAAATAAAAGAATCACAAAACATTAGTCAGAAGCATAGCTGGCGGTCTTCATATGCGAATTCCTCATTTTATAGAGGAAAAAACTGAGGCACAGAGAAATTAGGTGCCTCGCCCAAACTAACAGAGTTAACAATAGATTGGAGGATAAAAGCCCAGGGCCCTGGCTGCCTGTTGAGTTCTCTTCCCTACTGCATGCAGCAGAGTCCCTTCAAGGAGGTGAGCTATGGCGGCACACTTTGGAGTGAGCAGGGCTGCGGCCTGGCTGAGGGAAGAGACCCCAATTTCCCTATCCCATACCATCATTCTAGAAGGTAGGATTGCAGGGATTGCAGGAGAGTGGCCTGCCTCCTCCTTTCACGCTGAGTGACTCCCCACCCCTACCAGTCGCCACATGGATGGAGGTGAAGATGCCAAGAAAACCCAGCTTGACGGTCATATTGATACGGCACATGGTACCAACTGGGAGACACTGGCCTATCTTATCCCCCAGAGAGACAGGTGCAGGCACTGAAGGGAAAGGGCAATGAACATGTTCTGCCTCTGGTCCCTTGGAAGGGATGTGTGATGATAAAATAGTGACCTGAATGTTCAAGATCTCCCTAGTGGATTTGTAAGTATGCACTAAAATTTAAGTGATATTAAAGAAACATTGACTTGTTTAGGGTGAAATCGGGCTCATTAATAATTTGGACTCATGTTCAATATTACAATATCTTCCATTCACTACTAAGTAGCTTAAAGTCTTACGGGATTGCTTTATATCTCTGAGCTTAATTGCCTTGTCTTAAATTAAGGTTAATAATATCCAGCTTAGATCCTCTAAAGAACTGTTGTATGGAGTGAATTACATAACATATAAAGCAGCTAGGAGAGTGCCTGGCACACAGGATGTGTCCAATAACTGGTGGCTGTTGTTATTATTAATAACACAATAATCAAAATACAAATATTATAATGACCAATTATCCTCATATATGCCTTTTCTAACCACACACCACATTTTCAAAGACAGAGTGATGTCATAGTGTATTCTGAACCCCCAACCCCACTCACAGAGTATGGCACAAATCTATGCCTATGGTAGGTATCAGTAAGAACTTAGGTGGAACTGAATCGAATGAATCACTCCTACCGGATTACTCTGTTCTTTCAGGGGTATTTCGGATCCAGGTTCTGCCTCGAGGCTGACGGAGTCAATGCATTCAGTAAGCGTGTCCTCAGTCACTTCTCCATTGACGGGGGGCTCCATGGCGCTGATGTCTTTGGGCTGCTCAGGGTGCCTAATGTCAGCAGTCTCTGCACCTTGAATGGCTGCATTTTCATGCTCATCTCCTCTGGGGTCGGCTGGTGTTGGCTCGTTTGAAATCGTAGCTGAATCACAGTGCACTTCTGCATCTTTGGGCAAAGAACCACTGCTAGGCATCTCAGTAATTTCTGCTTTCTCTCCAGTGGCTAGGGTGTCACCGACATCATCAGACATTTTAATATCTGTTAACATGATTACAAACACTTGATGCTTTAATTTGAATTATTAAACTTTAATTCAAAGCCCTGAATAATAAAATTAAATCTGGTAGGCGTGAACTTTCTTCTACCGATAAGAAACTTTATGTAACCTTGGGGTAGGCTGAATCATGGCCCCCAAGGATAGCCATGTTCTAACCCCTGGAACCTGTGAGTGTTACCTTTTGTGGCAAAAGGGACTTTGCAGATACAATTAAATTAAGGATCTTGAGATGAGGACATTATCTTGGGTTATCCAGGTAGGTCCTAAATGAAGTCACAAGCATCCTTATCAGAGAGAGGCAGAAGGAGATTTGACTACAAAGAAGAAAAGGCGATGTGATGACAGAAGCAGATATCAGAGCAATGTACTCTGAAGATGAAGGAGGGGGCCACAAGCCAAGGAATATGGGTGACCACTAGAAGCCGAAAAAGTCAAGGAAACTATTCTCCCCTCAGAGACTCCGGAAGGAACCAGCCAGACCAAGACCTTGACCTTAGCCAAAATGAAACTGATTTTGGACATCTGACCTCCAGCACTGTAAGAGAATAAATTTTTGTTGTTTTAAGCCACTAAGTTTGCTGTAATTTGTTACAGGAGCAAAAGGAAACTAACACAAACCTACAGTGCCATCTTTAAACTTTCATGTGTCTCTTATTGGTATGCAGGGATACACATATGAGAACTAAGGGTACTTTCTGTAGCTGTGAATTATTCATTTAAATGACTTTATTAATTATATTTGTACCAATAATGAGAACAAGCATAGAAAATACCTGAGAGCTTATTTAAAAACTTGACATTTAAGGGGGCTGGCCCTGTGGCATAGTGGTTAAGTTCTGGCATGCTCTGCTTCGGTGGCCAGGTTCACAGGTTTGGATCCCAGTTGGGGACCTACACCATTCATCAAGGCATGCTGTGGTGGTGATCCACATACAAAATAGAGGAAGATTGGCACAGATGTTAGCTCTAAGCTAATCTTCCTCAAGCAAAAAAAGAAAAAAAAAAGAGGAAGATTGGCAACAGATGTTAGCTCAGAGCAAATCTTCCTCACCAAACAACAACAACAACAACTAAAGCTGACATTTAGCTTTGGAATGTTGTCAGAGATTCACATTGAGAAAGAGACCTACATAGACATAAGTGTGCTTTGTCGGGTACCAGCGGTGAAGACCTGGGCTCTGTTTGGATGATAGTTTAGATAGGGAAACACAAGAATGAGATGGAAAGAAGTGAGGTATTTAGCTAAATGAGGAATGTAGCCATTATGAAATAACCTACAAAGCAGAAAACTCTTTACCAAGCTTGCAAGTTATTGACATCAGGGAGAACAGCATCTTTCAACAGCACTTTCTGTGATAATGAAAATGTTCAATTTCTGCAATGTCCAATGTGGTAGCTAATAGCTACATGTGGCTACTGAACACAGGAAATATGGCTAGTACAACTGAAGAACTAAAATTTTAATTTTATTTAACTTTAAATAATTTAAATTTAAATTTTATATAGGCATGCGCGGCTACTGGCTACCTTACTGGATAGTACAGCTCTAGAAGGCTATTTTGAGATGATAACTTTCTTAGACTAGAATGAAGACACCATATTCTCACTACACAAGAAGCCAAGTCTCAGTCAGATCTGTGGGTATTTTTGTTGACCTCAGTGTTTACCAACTGGTCAAATCTCAGGTTGCCGCTAAAACCACAGTATGTGAGAAGCCCTTTAACATACTGGCCACATGGGGATACAGGCTTGGAACTCATATGCACATGCCAACCCTCTTGTCTCCTCAAACAGCCATTCCCCAAGGTTGTCTGGCTATTTTCCTTTCACTTGTAGTTTCCAGGGGCCAAAGAGAGGGGGAGGGAGTAGTGACTGCCAATGGGTATGGATTTCTTTCGTGGGTGATGAAAATGTTCTAAAATTAGAAAGCAGTAATGGCTGTACAATGCTGTGAATATACTAAAAACCTCTGAACTGCACATTTTAAAAGAGCAACTTTTGTAGTATGTGAATTTTGTGGTATGTAATTTATATCTCAATAACACTATTAAAAAAAATTTCTACTTCCAGATAAGTAGTTCTAGTGGCCAGCTGGACATCTTTTCTTGTCCAAAAGGAAACCTGTTGTCTTACTGTTAATACTAGATGTTCCTCTTGACTTTTGTGTTTCTTTTTAACAACACTTAGATTTCCTCAATAACCCAGGCTTAAAACCTCAGAGCTGTCATTAACTAAACCTTCACTCTCTCAAGAATATATAATATCAATAGCTGTCATTTATTGAGTGCCTATTAAATCCAGGCTCTTTAAATGTATCATCTCCAGGTGACTTAGATATTAGGAGCTCCATTTTACAGATGAGGCAACTGAGGCTTAGAGGTCACACTTTTAGTCAGCAGCAGATTTGAACCCATATCTGACTTTGAAACTGAACCACGATAGAGCTCTGCCTGCAATGCCACCTGCCTCTTTTCTTCGATTCAACCAGTGCCCAAATCCTAGAGGCTCCTTATTCAGAATCTGTCTTTTCTTTTACTGTTATTCTTCCTGCCACCATCCTAGATCAGGTCCTCATTATGGTTCATGTTGATTTCAATATTGGGTTCACCCCTCCACTGTTGTTCTCCTTTTCCCTACCCCATCCTTCCCCATCCTTCATCTCACAGCTCTAAGTACAACTTTCTCCTGGTCAGACATCCTTGGGAGCTTCCCACTTATTACTGAGATGAGGCCACATGCTTCAGCTGGCATCCAAGGATGCCACTCTGTGCTCTGATCTCACTAGGCTTAACTCCCTCTATGACCTTCCAAATCCTTAAATGAGACAATGCAAGTATGTGGACAATGCCTGACATTCAAAAGACTCTCAGATGGCTGTTCGTTCAACATCTTGTTTTTTACACATTTAAGGCTCAGTTAAAATAACCACCATTGTCATTTTTCTATTCCTCCCTACTAGACATAATTTTTGTCCTCTGAACTTCCAGAGTGCTTTGTGTCTATCTCACCTTGGACAGTTACAATCCTCTTTTTTTTTTTTTGGTGAGGAAGTTTGGCCCTGAGCTAACATCGTTGCCAATCTTCCTCTTTTTGCTTGAGGAAGATTGTGACTGAGCTAACATCTGTGCCAATCTTCCTCTATTTTGTATGTGGGACACCACCACAGCATGGCTTGATAAGTCATGTGTAGGTCCACACCTGGGATCTGAACTCATGAACCTGGGGCTGCTGAAGCAGGGCAGGCAAACTTCACCACCACACCACCAGGCTGGCACCACAATCCTCTTTGATTAGAGTTGCTTGAGTATTTCCTTTTATATTGTAAATTCTGCGAAGACAAGGATCTTCCTTTTGTTGTTCTCATATTTTATACAGCGCTTAACATGGTTTCTTGATCATAATGGGAAACTCAACAAATATGTATGTTGAATTATATTAATATTAGTGTAGAGATTTAAAGTTAAAATGTAATTTGAAATGAAAACAAGCAGAAAATGCCTTTACCTCATTTACTGCTCAGGAGCTATCTCACGGTAAGAGGTTCCAAATGACCCATATTATTTTCCTTTTGTTCCTTCACCTCCCAGTTAACTGAGTTAGAAGGTCTCTTTTTAAACAAAAACCCTTGAATTGAGTGACAGCACTCCTGCAAACAAGTCTACAGGTGGGAAAGGCAAAAGAATGCACACTTCCCTTTAGCCAGAAGTTTAGGATATTCAAAGTTGGAGATGGTCTGTCAATGGGTATGGTCAAGCCCAGTCAAAGTAGTAAAGAATGATACAAGGTCACTGTACAGAAAAGGGGTAGTTACTGTGGTTCATGGGAGGGGGGTGGAATTAATGGAGGGTACTCGAAAAGCTACTGTCATTTGGAAGCCTATAAAATCTTTGTGAAAACCTTGAATCAGGACTGGTCTAGGACGGGCGTTGGCAAACTACAGCCTGCTGGCTAAATCTTGTCCTCCATCTGTTTTGGTAAATAAAATTTTATTGGAACACAGACATACTTATTTATGTTCTGTCTATGGCTTCTCTAGCACTACAACGGCAGAGTTGAGTAGTTGTGACAGAGACCATATGGCTTGCAAAGTTGCAAAGCCTAAAATATTTACTATCTGGCCTTTTACAGAAAACGTTTGCTGACCTGTGGCCTAGGACCATGCTCAACTGCCATGGCCGAAAGAGTTCTCTGTCCTAATTTATCCTATCCTTGCCTGGGTCCTAGGGGCATGACCCTAAAGAGAATGGGCCCATGAATAAATGATGCTTGGACATCATTTTTATTCCCATTTTTTGTTCACCAATAGCTGGTCACAGACACTGTCTGATATTTTAATTTCTTTGTAAGATCGTTTGAAAATCCTTATTATCAATCTGGATTATTAAGAAGCTCCAAACTATTTCACTGTTCTATAAGCAGGAACATGAATAAACCTGGCTATCATGAACATTCATGGGCAAATAAAAAGCATTATGGACACTGTGACGTGTATACTTTGCCTGAAATGTGTTGTATTGCTGTTCATAATGCTAAAATACTTCAGCACATACCATGTGACATATGTGTGGGTTAGTTGTAATTTATACCCTGGTGGTAGTTGGTTAACCTGAGATGCCCTATTCAGGAAAATACTCTTCAGAGATCTTTAGTTAGCATTTCAAAATCTGGGATTCAGTGTTTACCTATTGAGAGGGTTCAACTATCACCCTTTCTGATTGGTACTCCAGGGTGTGCTAATTAGCATAAGGGATATTAGACATCATTTTTCACTGATGAAATAGAAATAGTGCTTAAGATAAGTCGACTGGCGAGAAATAACATACAGGTGCTTTCTGCCCTTCTATTTCCAGGACAAAAGATTATATTAGGTCCAGCAGCTTATTGCCCTTGGCAGTAGTTTTCCTAGTTCTTCTAGCTGAAGTGGGAGAGCACCAAAGTCTGATTAGAAGCTTAGCTGAGTCCTGCCTCTAGAGCAGTCCTCACCAGAGACCTAAAAAAAACAGAGAGCTAGGACCTCATCAAGCTTGCAAGAGGCTGTAAAACGGAGGCCAGTTGCTAATATACGCGTGGTGTGCGGCAGAACTCTATCCGAGAACTTGGATGCATAATAATATTACTCTTGGTAGAGAGGTTGCATGGGAGGAAACCTGCAGCCCTCACCCATCTCTCACGGCCAAACTGCCTTAGGTCAGTTCACCTCAACTGCAGAAAAATTGCTGAAACAAAACATCTGTTCTCTGCAGCTGCTCTGCATTCAACCAGCAACATGAAGCCTTTCCTTCAGAAATACCCAAAAAATGAGCTGTGAGGTCCTGAACTGATAGCTGAGAAATATTTATGGATAACCTGTAAATTTCAGAAAGACTACATTTTCACATTGGTTTAAATAATAAAATTGGTCACCATAATATTCAGCCCTACTTTAACTTCTGGTCGTGTATCTCTCTAATCTATATTTATTTCTACCTGTTACAAGTCTACATTTTCCCTAAACCAAAAGCAAAAGCAAAAAAAAAAAAAAAGTCTCTTCTGGTTGTTCCGGTAGGCCTTGATTTACTCTAGATGTTATTATGACAGGAGAGATGTAATCATTTTCAAAACTCTGCCCTCTTGTCTGAAGCCATTAGAAATGGTGTGTTCTAAACGCACAGCTGTTTCTGAGCAGTGACTGGTGGAGCCCACCAGGACTACAGCTGTGGTGTGCTGTGCTTCCCAGGACGGTCCCCATCTCTGCCTGGGTGCCCCACAGGCAGGCAGACTTATAAACCTCTCCTGATTTATGGTGTGGAATGTTGATCACTGTGGCCATGTCCTATGGCTTTGATGCCGGGGAGACTCAACCCACAGAAACAAGGAGGCTTCTTCAGTGAACTCCAAGGAGAGGAAGAGTGGCACATAAAGAGGCCTTTGTGGGCTGGGAATAACTTAGGTTCTCATGAGTAAATTCATTCATCACCTAAAATGCTCTCAGAACTATGCTAGGTATTGGAGCAGCAACATCATAGCTCCAAAAATAAGTTTAAAACGGAAGACATGGTTACTATCCTTCAGAAAATGAATAATCTGTTTTCATTTTATTCCTGAAGTGAAGGTTCAGGAAACCATTTCAGCTTACACCAAATGATTAAACGATGATGCAAACCAGCACATAATAAATAAGGGAAAGATGTACCTGAACTAGGCTGACCTCGGGCAAGAGAGAACCTTGAACGTGGCTTTGATATGCATGGCATGGTGGGATAAGAGAATGTGTATATGCCCAGCATCAGGGATGAATTCTAGATATTCAGGATGGATGTCTGTGTGACCAGGCTAAGAGGCTGCAGGCAGGAATATCGAGGGATGGGAAAGATAAATTCTGAAGTGGAAAGAGCCTTGCTCTGGTCCCACCTCTCTCTGTGGGGGTACAGCTCACTCCTTCCTGCTAGGCTTCCTCATTTCCTCCCCTGTGGAGTAAGGCTGGACAAAATGATCTGGATACTTTGTTCCCAAAACCCCCACTGCAGGACTGGACCAGTCCATGATGACAGAGAAGAATGAGGACAAGAAAGCGAGTTTTTCATCAATCTAAATTTATTAAATATAAAGGTCTGCCTTCATCTTGCAAGGTTAGCCTTCACACTTTTCTTGGTATTAAAATGTCTTTTAATTTATGAAATAGTGGTGCAGCGGATGGATTTCTTTTTTAAAATGGCCTCATTTGGCAAAATAAGAATTTGGTAACACAATAACCTGTGTGAAAATCACTGCCCCCAATTTAAAAGTATGCTGGTCAGTGAAGGCACAGGAACAGAATCTCTGGATGAGAGGTTCTTAATCAGATTGCAAGAGCTCCTATGGACCCTGACCGGTAGACGTGCCCAGGCCCCAGTATCTTTTCCTCCACTCTACATGTCTGCCAGATATTCTTCTGAAACATGGATGGGACCTATGTGCTCCCCTGTTTAAAAACCATTAGGTTTAAACACCGTTGCAGGGCATCTGTGGCCCTTCATAATCCAGCTCCAATCTCTCTATCCACCTCTTGTAATTCTCCACACACTCCACGCTCCTGCCTCACCAGACTTTCCACCATCGCCCTCAGGGCTTATAAACATCCCACATCCTTGCCCACGCTACCCTGCCTCCAACTGCCTGGCAAACTCCTATTTGTTTCTCAAAATCTAAGGTCACCTTTTACTCTGAAATTTTCCTTAATTTGCCCCACTCCTTCCAAAGAATTAATTGCTCCCTCTCCCAGGTTTTTTGCGATACTTTGCATGGACTCCTATGGCATTTATTAAGGAATGTTTGTTTCTACGTCATTCTCTCTTCCAGGACTGTGACCAACAAGCACCTAGCTTGGTTTCTGACCCTTAAATATGTACTGAACTGAAATACATTGTTTGATATCGATTAAAGACAAAGAATGTTTGATAGAAGCCTCATCTTACAAATATATGGCTACTTACATGGACTGAATCCCTGAGATTCAGGAAGGCCCCCGCCCACTCTCAAATTCCTCTGCCCTGGCTCCCCTGTGCCTCAAATTCCGCCCTCAAAGTTTCATTCCTTTGCTTAAAGCTTAGAATGTAAGGAGTTCATCAGATTCCTTCCTGAGCCCAGGTTTTGATGGAGGAAAGGAAGGAGAGAGTGTGGAATGAATATGGGTGAGGTAGGAAAGGGGGCCACAAGGAGAAAAAAAGAGCAGAAAGCGGCCTCTCGGGAGAAAGCCTGGCTCATTCTGTTACCTCAGGCTGGCTGAGGGTTTCTGAAGTTCAGGAGACACAGATTTGAAAAGCCACCTGCTTGTAGCCCTCAAGATGTTTAGGATGGGAACTGACGGGATCAGTAGGGCATAGATATTGTCCTTACAGCCCACACAGAGATGACTTCCCTCTCTAGGAAAGGGCAACCAAGTTCAGCAGCTTGATGTGAGAGGGCTGGAAATACTCACCAGATTCCAGGGGAGAAGATGAGAAGATGGGGGGCGGGGCGGGGAGGAGAGGCGAGGGTTAGGGGGAGTGGGTCTCAACCTTGGGCTGTAAATCGAGGTGGTGCCAGCTTAGGGCGTTGGCTGGGGTGGAAGAGAGGGCAGGGCGTGGATCTGCAGAGGGAGGGACCGGTGAGCTTGGGTGGGAGGTCAAGGCCTGAGCTCAGTTTTGGCGAACCCGGGATGGAGGCCTGTGCACCCGGCTGCGGGGACCCTGCATCCTGCCTCTCTGACTTGGACCAGAGACATTGGGAAAACTTTTTCAGACTTGCTTGGTGCCGGGAGTGGATATTTCGGAAGGACAAGGTAGGCTCCAAAGGGGTTCACGCCGGCCGAGGGGGCAGACCCGGAGTGCGGGCGTGTGGGTGTGTGCATGAGCGTGGACCCGGAGCGACACACACTCACACACACACACTCACACGCCCGCACCCACGCAGGGCCCTCGGCCGCGCCGCGCGCGCCTCCCCGGACCTTCACCCCCAAGCCGGTCCTCCCGGGTCCCGCGCCCAGTGCCAAGTCCCTGTCGACAGCTTCTCCCTAACGCAGCGGGCGGGATTCGGGGATCAGGACAAGGAGCGACGGCAGGGTCTCCCCACCACCCCGCTGCAGCTGGCCCCGCATTCACCCCTGGCCCGGGGAAGGGGATGTGGAGAGGATACCCGGGGCTCTTACCGCTCAGGCGGCCGAGTGCGCGCAGCAGCGCCGGGCGGGTCCCGCCCCGCCACGTCGGCAGGGCCGGCGGGGACGCGGCCGGAGGGCGGGCCGGAGGGGGACAAGGGGGCGGCCGGGCCGCGGCCCCGCCCCCGCGCGCCCCGCCCCTGCCTCGAGCACCGCGGAGGCGCCCCGCTCCCCCTTTCCCGGGCGGGAGGGGCCCGGCTGCGCTTGCGACCTTCCCTGGGAAACTGCTTTTCTAGCTCTGTTCCGGGCAGGGAGAACCAAAGGGGCGCCCACCCCTGGGCGGGTCGCGGGTTTCTCTGGATCTCTTTCCTTCCTTTAAAAGCGCCCCGAGCTACCAGCCCCATGGCAGAATGGTTAAGTTAGCGCGCTCTGCTTCTGGGGCCCGGGGTTTCGTTGGTTCGGATCCTGGTCGTGGACATGGCGCTGCTCATCAAGCCATGCTGAGGTGGCCTCCCAAATAACACAACCAGAAGGACCTACAACTAGAATATACAACTATGTACTCGGGGGCTTTGGGGAGAAGAGGAAGAAGAAGAAAAGATTGGCAACAGATGTTAGCTCAGGTGCTAATCTTAAAAAAAAGCAACAAAAAGCTCCTGGAAAGCCCCGCAATTTCACCGGGAAGAGGTCGCGGAAGTTCAGCAAGAGTTTGCGGTCCCCTGAGTGTGTGTTAAACCGCTTTCCCTTACCCTGATTGGGGGAGTGTATTAAAAATCAACCCACCAAACAAAAACACTTGCTAGGCCAGTTTGGAAATGTGGATCAAAATTCAAATGCATTAGCTTTGGCCCGGGAATTCCACGTTTGCGAATTTGTCCTAAGTAAACAGTCAGAAGTGCAAATGTGTATGTACAAGGATGTTTATTGTGGTTGTTTATGTCAGAGAAAACCCAGAAATAATCAGTGCCACAAGAAGGGATAGAAGAAGTAAACTATAGTCACTTCAAACAATCGGATATGCTGTAGCTGTTAAAAACTATAACTACATCCAATTTGTTTCCATGGAAGGAAGGCAGGTCATGGCTGAATATTAAGTCGAGAGTGGGATAAACTTACAAAAGTGTATGTATAGTATAAACCCATTCCTGTAAATATATACGTATGCATATATTTTATGTAAAAGTTAGGGAAAATATGATTTTAAAAACAGTGATTCTTTCTGAGTTTTGCAATTGTGGTAGCAAATTGTGTTCCAGGTGTGGCGTGTGTTTTGGTGTGCCATAGATACACAGCATGCCTGTGACGTCTGCGCCTGCCTAGGGACAGCAAGCACCTTTGCTACACCTGACCCTCTGTGCTGTGCTGAATGGCAACAGCCCAAGCAGACGTTCCCTTTTAAAGGGCTGGTTTCCTTTTCTCCTTTGACCCAAACCACACCTTTCCAATAAAATAATATCAACCAAGCAACTCCAGCAATAAGCTTTGTTGCTGCCTGCAAATTATGCCCTTTTACTCAAATGTTGCTGCTTCCAAGCCCACCAGCTTTTATTTCAAAACTTTTATTTTTTTGCAACTTAAAATTTTTTTATTCATTTAAAGAATTCTGGAGTATTTAAAACATATAGAAAACCAGAGAATAATATGACAAATATTTATTTGTAAAGAAAAAAGTAAAGAATACACAACAAGTAGATTTAACAAATTTTGGTTTTTGTCTTATTTATTTTAGAACCTTCTTTTAAAAGAAAAAAAAATATTACACATATGTCTGAAACCCTGTCCCTCCCTTCTCTACCTTCCCTGGAGGTGTCCTGAGGTTGTTGTGTATCCTTCCCACTCATATTCTATACTTTATTGCACATATCCTCACCCGTAAACATTATACAAAATTATTTTTCAGTTATAAGTAATGTCCCATACACTCATTTACTCAACATTATATTTTTGAGACTCATTCACGTTCATAAATGTACATGATTTCAAAGTCTTTATAGGATTTCTAGCACATTCATTTCAAAGTCTTTATAGTGTTCCATTGTATAAGTATGCTGCAGTTTATCCATTCCCCAAGCAATGGACATTTAGCGTGTTTCATGTTTCACTATTATATATAATTACATATAGTGCTAACTACTGTATTACATACAGTGCTGCAATGGCCATGTTTGTACGTTTTCTTGTATCCCAAGCTAGAAATGGAACAGCCAGTTCACCTTCGCCAGGTATTGTGAAACTGTCCTGTAGTGTGGTTCAATCATTCATTCGACAAAACTTTTTTGAGCATGTGCTATGTACCTAGAACTGCTCTAGGTGCTAGGAATACAATAAGGAGCAAAGCAAAGTCCTATCCTCAGAGAACTTACGTTCCATTGAAAGGGAGATAGAGTAACTACATAATATATCAGGTGGTGGAATAAAGCAGGATGTAGAGTCTGTAAGGTCTAGAGAATGATGGGGAGCAACCATGGACAGAGAAGTCCCTGCCGATAAGTGACATTTCAGTGTAGATTTTAAGGAATTAAGGGAGTGAACAATGGTGATATCTGGGAACATTTTCAGGCAGAGGGGACTGCAAGAACAATGTGGGAGCATGGTTGGTGCACTCGCAGAATGGTAAGGGGGCCAGGGTGACTGGAGCATAAGGAGGATAGGGCAGAGTGGAAGGAGATGAGGCCATAGAGGTAGTGGAGACTGAGAGATGGAGCAGACCAGGCAGCGCCTTGCACACCACAGTACGCGTTTTGCTTATACTTTGAAAAGGGAATCCTTACAGCTTTTGAGTAGGAGTGTGCCATGATTCTAGCTTCTGGTTCTAATTGGATTGGGATGGGCTCGGGGTGGGTGGATGCATGGAGGTGAAGGCAGAGGCAGACAAAGCAGACAGGAGGCCACTGCAGTTACCTATGTGAGAGATGATGATGGTTTGGCCACTATGGGAGTAGTGAAGGGCATGAGAGGTGTCTTGCTTATGGATATATTTCAAAGAAAAACTCAACAAAATTTGCTTATGGATTGGATATGGAGTTTGAGCAAAAGAAAGAAGTCACAAATTACTGCAAGGATTTTGACTTGAGTGACTGCAAGAATAGAAATATCATTTATTGAGATCAAGGAGGATGCAAAAGGGGTAGGTTTGGGGTTTGAGGTAGCGAGAATTCAAGCATTTGATTTTCAACAAGAACAATTTAGCGAATGTTTAGCAGGCAGTTGGAGTCTGGAGTTCAGGAGAGAAGTCTAGGCAGGAGATAGTAATTGGGGAGTCATCAGCAAATAAATAGTTTTTCAAGCCATGGACCAGGATGAGAGTGCATGGAGTTGAAGAAGAGAAGTCCAAGACTGAGTCTTGGGTGTTGCATGTTAGAGAGATAAGGAACACAGAAGAGACTGGGAAAGAATGCTAGTGATTAAGCAGGAAAATTGGAGGGAGTTGTGTGGGAGTGGGAGTGGAGGAGGGGAGTGTAGGGTCCCAGGAGCCAAGTAAGAAAACTTTTCAAAATCTTTTAGCTGTGTTAAATGTTGCTAATAGTTCAGGTGAAAATTGAGAATTGACCCTTGGATTTGGCAACGTGAAGGTCCTTGGTGACCTTGATAAGAGCTATTTTTCTGGAGTGGTGGGGAAAGAAACCTGATTGGAGAAGATTTTAAAGAATGGGAGAATAATTGGAGACAGTGAGTAAAAACAACTCCTTCAAGGAGTTCTGGTGTAATGAGGAGAAAAGAGGATGAGGTTGTGGGTTAAAAGGAAGCAATTTTTTTTAAATTAGAGAAATTGTAGCATTTATGCTAATTGGAATTGTGGGGGATTGGAAGTGGCCACCTGAAGATATGTCTCTTTGGCATGAGGATTACTTTTGGCTGGTTACTTTTAAAAACTGCAGATGTGAGAGAAACTCTGAAAAGTAGAAGTTACCCTTTGGAAGAAACATTTACATTATAATGGAAATCTCCATCTGTAAAGGTGTCTCCTTCTCTATGCCAGGAAGAAGAGGAGATGACTGTATCTCTAAAAACTCTTATCAATGCTGAAGGCAAGGACTTAAATTTACATAATAACCTTACTCTTGTTTACTGTACTTTTCTGGTAATCTCCCATAACTGACTCCCCCTTCCCCCAACATCCTTCTTTGTCTTTAGCTGGGGATGGTATTTAAGGTGAGAGCTTCTGCCATTTTGGTGAGTTGATCAGTTTTTCTGGGTCTCTCTCATGTATACATGTTATAAAGCTTTGTTTAATTTTCTCCTGTTATTCTGTCTCCTGTCAGTTTAATTTGTAGTCCGAGCAGAAGGACCCAGAGGGGGTAGAGGAAATGTCTTCCTCCCCTACAGAATCATACATTAGAGCAGAAAAATGATGATGCAGTAGAGAGAGGATAATTGCAAGAGTGATTTCCTGGAGTAGACAACAGGAATGGGATTCAGTGCTTACTAGGGAAGAAATGGCTCTTGACACAGAGGATTCATTCAGGAGACAGAGGAAAGTAAAGTAGAACAGGTGCAGGGAGGCTAGTAGAGTTTTGGGGGGAGGATGTGGAAATGCTCTTCAGGTTGCATTAATTTTCTTCATGAAAAATGAAGTATCATCAGCTGAATATGAGGAAGGGACGGAGGTGTTGGATGGCTAACAGAGAGGAGGAGGTGTAAGACAGAAGAGAGTAAATGCGCTAGGGAGGGGAATAGGAAGACTACTAGCATTGCTGCTCATCTTGAGGTTGGGACCCAGTCATGAATTTCAAGTGAGACAGTCAGCTGTTGATGCAAATAACCCATAACCAACCTATAAATCAAAATTGGGGTGAGTTTATTATGAGGCAAAATGAGGATTTTAACCCGGGAAGGCCTTAGAAGGCGTTCCAGAGAAGCATGGGTTTCAGTACAGTTTTATGTCTTTTTAGAACATAAGAAGATACATTAAACACACCCAGGATACATTTTCAGAGATACTCAGTTGCAAATTAGCAGGTCAACATGACCCTGACGCCAGGAAAGGGACTAAACCGGGCGTTACCACTAGGGTGTTGTTGCCAAGAGGGCGTAGGAAGGGAAGTATGCGTTCTTTATCTCAAGAGTGATTCCTTACTTTAATGGATAAGCAGATGTACAATGTATGTTTGATAGGCCATAAGTCAGGCTTTCTAGTTCAAGCTGAATCAGTTTTGAACTTGAATAGTTA